TTATTATATTTTGAGGGAATTATCAAAGAATGTGAAAGGTATGTACATTTGGGTAATACAATAGTTTTAATGATTACTGTTTTACCAATGAAAAGTTAGATCTCTTCTTTTCCATATATTAAGACATTTTTTTGTATTTGTCTTTTTTTCATCCGAGTTAAGCTTTTCACATTCATTTTTATTATTTTGAAATATACCCCTAGTGACTTGATTGGTACTTCTGGCCAGTTTATTCCGCCTATCTTTCTTCTTTAATTTTTTAGTTTTCCTATCCAAAGGTCATCGGTTTTGTTTCTATTTAAATCTAAGCCTGACACCTTCCCAAATTCTATTTGCAACGCTATTGGTATGTGGTGTGGTGAACTTATAAACAGGGTGGTGTCATCTGCTAACTGGCTTATCTTTTGTTCTTTCAAAGACCCTTTACTTTTATCCCTCTTAAATTGTTGTTATTGCGGATATTAAGGGTTAGGTTTTCAACTATGGCTACGAAAATTAACGCGGAGACCGGACATCCCTGCCTTATGCCTCTTTCTATTTTTATTTTGTTTAGATTTCCACATACCAAGTGTTTATCCATGAGACGAAAGAGTTATTAAATCCAAATGCTTTAAAAGTTTTAACCAGTAAGTCCCACTCACATGAGTCGAGAGCTTTTTTGAAATCTATGAAAAGGATTGCCCCCTCTATATTTAATTGGTCTGCATAATCAATGATATCTTGTGTTCGATGAATATTATAACCGATATATCTATTTGTTAAGTAACCTTGTTGATCCAAGCTAATGATATATGGTAATACTTTTTAAAGACGTTTTGGCAAAACATATGCTGCTATTTTTAATCAAAATTTAATAGTGTTATCGGTCTCCAATTTTCTAGTAATTATGGGTTTTCTTTTTTATATATGAGTGTTATGCGCCCTGTTGTTGTGAGGCTGATAATTTAGTTTTTGTATAACCTGCATTTAGCGATCGTGTAACTATGTCTTTAAGCTCGTTCCATAATGTTTTATAAAATTCTGCTGTTATCCCATCTAGCCCTGGTGATTTATTTAATTTCATATTTTTTACAGCATCTGTAAATCCTTTTACTGTAAGTGGACCGTCGCATTGTTTACTTGCGACTTTATTTAGTCTATTTTCCAAAACTGTATTGCTTAAATACTCGTTTATTTTGGTGGGGTCTGGAGATTGTGTGGTGTATAGTCTTTTTTATAGAAATCATGCCCTGCTTTTAAAATCTCTGATTCTTTTGTTATTAATTTACCCTCAATATTCAATTTTGGTATACTTTTTCTTATCTGTCGATTGGAGTCAAAGAACATCAAATTCAGAAAGTATTAAATTCAAAAAATAATTGAAATAAGAAAACAAAAAGAAACAATTTATTAAACCCGGCGGCCCTAATTTTTAGGTTGAGCCATTTACGCCAAAACCTATGTCTTTGTTGTTTTGTTTGTAAACGAAGCTGCGCTGCATGTTCAAGTTGTAAATTATGAAAATGTTGACATCTCACAGCTGCTGGAGAGGAACCAGTAAAACAAAAGGAAGGACACAAAACATGTTTCTGTCTTGTGGGTTGTTTGTTGCATAAATATTAATTAAATAGTGTGTATGTTGTTTGATCAATTTGGATGTTTACGAGTACAGAACGACCATTAACATCTGTATTACTTATATTATAACATGATGTTGTATTTCTGGTACATTATGATATATTGCTTGAATTATAACATGATGTTGTATTTCTAGTGCATTATGATATACATATGTAACTTAACTAATAACATGATATTGTATTTCTGGTACATTGTGATATATTGCTTGAATTATAACATGATATTGTATTTCTAGTACATTATGATATATAACTTAAATTATGACATGATATTGTATTTCTAGTACATTATGATGTATACATGTAACTTAAATTATAACATGATATTGTATTTCTAGTACATTATGATTAAAACTTGATTTATAACATGATATTGTATTTCTAGTGCATTATGCTACTGTATATACATGTAACTTAACTTATAACATGATATTGTATTTCTAGTTCATTATGATATATTACTTAAATTGTAACATGATATTGTATTTATAGTACATTATGATACTGTATAAAACAAAACAAAACAAAAAACAAAAACAACATCTGTATGTGTATTTACAATGTTATAGTTTACTCCTAATCAGTATTGAAGTTCCACTACTGTTACTTGTACCGTAACTGTCTATAGTGTCCCCTTGCCATTCAGCATATCAAATGTTGTCTGATTTTTTGTGTGAAATGTGTTTCCTGTGTAAAAGTTATGCCCTCGTATAGTGATTTTCTTTCGTCAACTCTGTGGTTCTGTCTTGACTTAGCTTCAGCTGGCTACAGGTCAATGAATGACAACACGTTTTATAAAGTTCTACAATTTATTATGTACCAAACGAAACAGTGAAGTAAATTAAACATGATGAATAGATATACACAATGCTACAGCACGTCAACCACTCGACCGGTCCATACTAAAACAGTATACCGTGTAACATATGTCCTCCCAAAAATGTCCACCCGGTATCCCACCCCGGGGAATAAGTTTAAACCCACCCCGATAATATATTACAACATACCTACAACGGGAAAATAACCATCCCAAATCAACATCGAGATAATTCTACCCAAACATGCCTACAATGGGAAAATACCACCCAGCCCGGAATAATTCTGAGGTCTAAGGCCGAAAAACACTCCTACATACCTGCCCGTAAGAAGGGTAATGACGAGCCGGCCAGCTACATGAAAGCCTCTGCCAGACTGATTTACAATACCAAAAACACCCAGCTATATAGCCAAATTTAATTGTATGCCTTGAAATGCACGTGCCGTGTAGTATTTGAAATACACGTGCAATGTAGTATTTGAACTCGATACTGACCCATACCTGAGCGAAGAGTGCTGTACAGGTAAGGTAGCATATCCTAAAAATATTAACCAATCAGAAACGTCTAAATAATATACCGGAAGAGAATCCCCAACGGGAATACCCCAGGTACACGCACTCCGTTACGCGAAACGTAAATACGGAAAATATACAACAAGTAAGTGTTCAAAACCCAATCCTTTTACATTCGCCTTCCCTTAAAAAAGAGACAAATGTCCTCATTTGGTATGTACCACCATCCAATCGTTTTGAAACACAAAATCATACAACATTAGATGAAACCATGCGTCCATGGTTCGAGTACATTCGAAAAAAAATTGAAAGTTTACAATGTACCATGACAACAGCTTCACAAGATGTTTTAGCAAAAATGACAATGTAATCATCTTGTAACAAAACAAACCTTAATGTAGTGTATAAGACATTCCGGATATTACTATCCGTCCGCGCATAATACTAGTCACGATATAGAACTCTCCTGTATGGAGGTCAATAAAAAGAGTCTTGAGTTTACTACCAAACATGGCTGTTGTTCAGTTTGTTCTGAGGTCACAGAAACCCACATACACGACATAACATGGCGACGAGGACTGGTGAAGACCAAAGAAACTGAAACAGTAATGGTAGATGTCTACAAACTGATCAAAACAAGGTGGTAAGGCCGGTGCATGTCACAGAAAGCGTCCGAGACGTACTTTCGTTTTCAACCACGTGAAATCGAGCGGATCCGAAAGGGGCGACTCGAGTATTTTATCATTCGCAATTTAGTCCAAACCAAGTGTCCACGATGACAGGACGTATCGGGCGAATAGATACATTTGATCAAGTTAATGAAAACTGGGACTCGTATAGTGAAAGACTAGAACAGTACTTCATCTGTAACGATGTCAAAGCGGAAAAGAAAGTTGCCGCGCTTTTAAGCCTCGTGGGTGGCAATACATACCAACTCTTGAGAGGGCTTACAGCACCTAGAAAACCGTCGGAAGAGACATTTGATCGGTTATTAGCACTATTGAAATCACATTTTAGTCCTAAACCACTAGTTATCGCCGAAAGATTCCGTTTCCATAAGAGGGAACAAAAGGAAGGTGAAAGTATTAGGGACTATTTGGCAGCAATTAGAAAGCTATCAGAATACTGTGAATTTGGTGAAACCTTGAATGACTCTCTCCGCGATCGGTTAGTATGTGGTCTCAGAAGTGAGAATATACAGCGAAAATTATTGTCGGAAGCTACGCTAACATATGAAACCGCAGTAGAGCTGTCAACCGCAATGGAAACTGCGCAACGCGATGCCACTGAACTTCGTGGTAATACAAACACTGTACACAAAATTCATGTAAATAAAGGACAGAAATATCAACACAAGTCTGAAAAATCCCCACAATTCCCTGCAAAGAAAAATAACTCTAACAAGAAATGTTTTCGATGCACAAAAACTGGCCATGACCCAGACAAGTGTTTTTACAAGAATTCAACCTGTCATGCATGTGGTAAGGAAGGCCATATAGTTAAGGCATGTTTCAGCAAGGGAAAGGATGGAGGAAACAGGAAAGTCCATTACATGAAGAATGACAACTCCGATGATGAGTATAATCAGATAGCGTCGTTGTTTATCAATACCGCAAGCACTGGTAAGGCACCGATAACTTTAACACCACACATAAATGGTCATGAACTCAAAATGGAACTAGACACTGGTTCCGCTGTGTCGGTAATCACAGAGAAAACTTTCAAAGACAGTCTACAGGGCAATGTGAGAGACTTAAAAAAAACTAAGGTGTGTTTAAAGACCTACTCAGGTGAGAAATTAGACACCGTGGGAATTGCGATTGTGAAAGTTGACCATAATGGCCAGCAACGCGACCTTGACCTCTTTGTAGTCAAAAAGGGAAGCAACCCTTTATTCGGTCGTGAATGGATTAGGGAAATTACACTGGATTGGGTCGCAATAAAGGCAGTCACAACACATGGAAATGATGACAAAACCCCAGGGTTAAAAGGTAAACTAGATCAGCTACTACAGGATCACAAGTCCGTTTTTCCCGGACGACTGGGGCAAAATGAAGGACATCAAAGCAAAACTTAATCTCAAGCCGGATGCTGTGCCAAAATTTTGTAAGTCCCGACCCGTACCTTACGCAATCCGACCTAAAGTGGAGGCAGAGATCAATCGTTTAGTTGAGGAGAATGTGTTGACCAAAGTAACCTACAGTGAATGGGCGACTCCAATTGTTCCGGTTATTAAGAAAGACGGTTCCGTCCGTATATGTGGCGATTTTAAGGGAACAGTCAACCCGCGACTGGAAGTTGACCAGTACCCGTTACCAAAAACCAGAGATATATTCGCATCACTTGTCGGTGGTCAAAAATTTTCAAAACTAGACTTACAACACGCATACCTTCAAATGGAAGTGTGTGAGGAATCAAAACCGATTTTGACGGTTAACACTGAGAAAGGTCTGTATCAGTTCAACAGACTGGTGTATGGCATTGCATCGGCACCAGCAATTTGGCAACGTGCCATGGATACTGTGCTACAGGGAATCCCTGGAACCCAATGCATCATTGACGACATGTTGATCACAGGAGACTCTGATAAGGAGCACCTAAGAAACCTCAAGGCTGTTCTAGAACGTCTAGACCAGTATGGTTTGCGCCTCAAGAAGGAAAAATGCGAGTTTTTCAAAACAAAGGTCTCATTCTGTGGACATGAGATAGATGCCGAGGGACTACATAAGTCAGAAACGAAAGTAAAAGCGATGAATGAGGCACCAGCGCCCCGGGATGTGTCAGAACTTAGAGCATTTCTTGGGCTCGTAAACTACTACGGAAGATTCATTCCGAATCTGGCAGCTGTCCTGCATCCTCTACACGAACTCTTACAGAAGGACCACAAGTGGCACTGGAGTGAATCGTGTCAGGCAGCATTTGCGGAGGTCAAAGGCCTTGTGACGTCAAAGGAAGTCCTCACGCACTACGACCCAGAGAAACCTGTCAGACTAGCATGCGACGCATCTCCTAAAGGACTGGGAGCTGTACTTTCGCACGTCATGAACGATGGAAGTGAGAGACCTATTGCTTATGCTTCGAGATCGCTCAACAAAGCCGAGCGAAACTACTCACAAATAGACAAAGAAGCATTAGGACTAGTCTGGGGAGTGAAGTACTTCTATAACTACATTTTCGGAAGGAAGTTCACACTGATAACTGACCATAAGCCGTTAGTTTCGATCTTCAAACCCGACAAGAGCATCCCAGGGATGACCGCAGCTCGTATGCAGAGATACGCATTGTTTCTATCAGGTGTACACTATGACATTGAATACAAAAGCACTACAGCACATGGAAACGCTGATTGCTTATCGCGTCTACCGCTAACGACACAAGGAAGTGGAGATGATGAAGATGACGAAAAGGCTCTCCACTCACTGCATGTTTCGCAGTTAGAACACTTACCTGTTACCGAAACTCAGGTTCGACGAGAAACAGCTCGCGATCCGACTATGAGTCGAGTACTCAACGCAGCGCAATATGGCTGGAAAGAATTCCCCGACGAGGAACTGAAAATGAAACCCTACACCAGGAGGAGTTCAGGAATCACATTACATGAAGGATGCCTACTATGGGGCATGAGAGTCATCATACCACCCAAACTACGGGACGACGTTCTACGAGAACTTCATGAGGGACATATTGGGGTGGTACGCATGAAAGCACTAGCTCGAAGCTACGTGTGGTGGCCCGGTATAGATGAGGCTATTGAAAACATTGGCAAAAGTTGTGCAGGTTGCCAGGAGGCACCACCTAGAGCACCACTCCATCCATGGGAGTGGCCATCAACACCTTGGGAAAGGATCCATATAGACTTTGCTGGACCGTTTATGGACTCTATGTTCTTGATCGTTGTTGATGCTCATTCGAAATGGCCAGAAGTAGTTCCCATGCGAAATACGACAGCAGAGAAAACAGTAGATGTTCTAAGGAACATATTCGCTAGGAACGGAGTACCGCGCCAAGTTGTTAGTAATAATGGCCCACAGTTTGTGTCCGAGCACTTCAAAAACTTCATGAAATTGAACGGGGTCAAACACATTACATCAGCGCCCTACCATCCGAGTAGCAATGGGCTCGCGGAACGTTTTGTACAAACCTGCAAGGTAGCTATGATGTCTAGCAGGAAAGACGGCGGCTCATCACAGAAGAATCTCGCAAAGTTTCTTCTCGCATATCGAAACTCGCCTCATGCTACGACCAGCTATTTATGGGAAGATATCTGACGACTCGTCTTGACTTGTTGCGTCCAGACACAAGACGACGAGTGGACAAACAACAAGATAAAATGCGAGAAATCAGGACGCGACTGCGCTTATTCGAAGTAGGAGAAAAAGTGTCGGTACGCGATTATCGTGGTAACCGCAAGTGGTTATCAGGTAAAATTTCCGAACAGACCGGACCTGTTTCGTATAGAGTCGAAATTGCACCAGGAATCCTGTGGCGACGTCATGTTGACCAAATCAGAAACGCGCAAATTCCAGCATCTCCAATGCCGGAATACACCATGTCGAAATCTTGCCAGCCAGCAGTGTGCCGGAATATTGAACCGATTGTGTTACCTCAAACAGACACACCATCACGTAACGTGTCTGCGCGTCAGGATCATCGTGCTGTCGAGAAACACTCAGAGGCACCACTTGTGGTTCCTAATCAACCAGAGACACCAAGGGTTCCACGTCCAATAGTTGCACCCTTAGTTCGACCGCGAATGAACATTCAGCAACCAAAGAAGTTTGATGACTTTGTGCGTTATTGACTGGTTAATGTTTATTACCATGACACACTGTGTTAAAACGGGCATAATAATCCCTAGTGTGATCACAGGAACCAGAAAGGTTTCTTTGTTAAAAAAAAATGTTATGATGTTGTTATTTTCAATGTTCAGAATAGAAATTATTATTATTATTTTCTAAGTTCAGGAGAAGTGTATAAACTTTATAAAGGTAATATAAAGTATCCATTGACAAGTTACAT